GAGAGGTTCAAATGAAATAGCAGTGACTTTTTACCGCTGTTTCAGAGGACTGCAGAAAGAAGAGGTATTTAGTCGAATGGATAGCTTCAGGGAATTATTAACTGCTACTATAAAAATAACTGAAAATATTTCAGAACCCCCAACCATGACAAATGTTTTTTTGCCAGTGTACCATTTTAATGATAATTTCAAGAGGAGACAATCAGAACTGCAATCCAGAGAGCAGTTTCAGGCAAGAAGCAGTGGGAGAGTTTCACAGTTCCTTTCAGATAAGAAATGTAACCAACATGCACATGTGGAAAATAGATTAAAATGCACCATTAGAACTCCTCTCCTAAGTAAGGTAGTGAAGAAAATCCTCCCCAAAGTGGGAGTGTATCCACTTGCTGTGGATGTGTATTTTCCTACTGTCATCACTGCAGCTTCCTGTGACTGTGACAATACAAACCAGAGCCAGACACTATTAATGATTTTAGTAACACTGAATGATGGGACTGTGCATGTTTTATAAATATTTTCATTTTGTCTTTATTAATACAGATTTTGCTAAGCTGACAAAGGACTGATTTCAGTAGGGAACACAGGCTTCTGTTAGTCCCCCAAGTAATAGAGAGAAAATTAACCTCCTTACACATAAGTAGTAATAAAACACTTTAATCCAAAGTTAATACAAACTCTAGTCATATTCCCATCTTCATACAGACTTTGCTTTTGCAGGGTACTGTGCAACTTCAGTTTCTTGGATGAGCTGTGCAAAGCAACATGAGTGTATCTGCCTAACAAATGCTCCCTGAAGAACGCGAAGATCCCGAAGGTGTTTGCAAGGGCGCCCCGTTAGCTTGCACACACCATCCGTGCCCTCAGTGCCCAATCCATGGCCATAACCTCCTGCTCCCCTGCTCTCAGCTCGAGCCCTGGGCAGGCTGGGTGAGGCTGCAGAAGCGCTGTCTGCCTCTGGGGGTCTGTGCCACAGTGTCCCTTCGTCAAGACATCGGCCACCACTCACAAGCGGTAACTGCCTGGCCTTCTCCAGCCTGGAAGAGGCACCCGTGGAGCAAGACTGAACTTGAACTGAAGTGAGAAGATGGACAACAAAGTGTAAGGTTCCTGAGTTTGCCAAAAATATTTTACTTGCCAAACGACACAGCTTTCATGGGCTGAGAGACCTTTAGCAGAGAGGAACTGTGCAGCAGGAAATCTGGGCTCATTTTGCTTTGCATATCAGGCTGTGGCCAGAACCAAAGTAGCTGTGCTAACATGTGAAAAGTCATCTGATGAAAGGCCACTACCAAACAGGCCCAACTCAGAGGAGGAATAGCCTTAATACATTTTTTTTCTTGGTTTTGGTTCCAGAAGATGTCTGTGTCTCATGACTGTAATAATACTCAATCATCATGCTATAATGAAGGGCTTTTCATGTAATCATCTGTAGAACTGATTACTTTGGTCTATACCCTTATCATGCTGAGCTTCCTGGCAAAATTCCCACTGACACGAGTAAGAGAAGGATTGGAACTTTCCTCAGCAGTTTACAGCTTTTGTTTGACAATACCATGCTTTTCAGACACTTCACAGTGGAGATTAAGCATTTAGACTCTTAATTCCTGAAATATTAAAAAACCTCTGTAGAGATAACACACTTATTTTCAGAAGTCTAAATTTGTTCTGGTCATTATTGCTTCTAAGAGTACAGCACCAAAGCAAGGCATGAACAGGTATGGAAAAACTTCTATCCAGGATGCGGAAAATGGTAGACTCTCAAGGTGTCACATCAAAAATAGGAAGGAAGATAGGAGATTTTATATTGTGGATGATACAGAAATATTTGCTTGGTTTTTTTTGCCATAAAAAGCCCCAATTAGTCAATCCAAACCACTAAAAGTTCAAAAGGTAATGCACTCACAGATTTACTCTTTATTAAAAAAAAAAACACTACATCCTTTTCAGCCAAGTTTTGCCATTAACTCTGAAGGGACTAGGATGCCCAGAAGATTAGTAGGATCTGAAAAAGAATTGGACATTTATAGGGATAGCCAGAACACACATGATATGAACTCTATAAGCTCGTTTGTAGAGGTTAAGAGCTTGTTTTTCAAAATATTGAATGTATGTAATTCATTTTGACTTGAGTGGGAGTTCAGGGCATGCAGCAGTGCCAGAGGAGACCTTAATTTCCTGTCACAAGGGCCAAGTGTCTATATTTGGATATTCTTGCTTTTCATAATTTGCACCGCAGCAGCAATTAAGGGATAACATTACAGGCAACGATCCCATTGTACTAGAAATAACAGCTGTTCATTACTCCAGAGGCCTTCAGCTCTAAAGCCAAGGCAATTATCAGAGAGTTTATTGAAAAGCGAAGAGCAAATCCCTGCAGTGCCCGTTTTAGGCACCACGTGCAGGTGCCTGGGTTGGAGGCTGCTCTGTGCAAACCCTTTGCTTGTCCCACACCCACTTGCAGCGGTGGCAGAGGTGTCCCGGAGCTGCACAAGGAGGCACTGCAGCATTCCCTCTGGGCACCATGCAGGTCAGGCTTGGGAGCCCAGCATGGGAAGGGCAGGGACAGGATGAGCTGGGTTGTGGAACTGCAGCTCTTGCTGTGGGGTGAGACACACATCATCACCAAGCATTGTTTTCCCCTACTTCCAGCAAAGCTTTTGGTGCAGGTGCCTGTCAGAGGGAGAGCAGCAGGTTATTGTGGGCTGCAGCCTGGGTTTTCAATGGACTAGGCATTTGTGAGTGAGGTCAGGAGAGCTGGTCCCCTCCCAGTGCAGCAGACACATCTACTGTGAGGGTGTCACAGGAGACATCCTGCCTGATCACCCAGTTTCCAGACATGGAGAAGCAGACTAAGGAGCTGCAGAGACAGGTCAGGAGTGCAGGAGAACTTCTCCACCTTCTAACAAGCATCATCTTCATGGGTAGGTAACACAGGTGCCCCCGTGCTGTGGTTTGCCATAAGACCTATATGTTTCCATAGCATCTTTACCATGTTTCTTAAGGATCGTGCTTCACAAATACTTTCAAAAGGTCCAATCTCAACTAAGGAGTTGCAGGAATATTCTAAATTTGGTGAATGGTATGTGGAATTTTTTGGCTATGTCTGCACTAGCTCAGCAGAAGCAGACTGGAGGAAAAGGGATCTGGTGCTCCAGGGGTTTTTACTTTGGACCAAGTCCATGGCATGGCCTGAACACCTGCACACCCAGGAGTGTCTCATGAAGAGCCCCTCCTTCTGTAGCCCAGATGCCTCCAGGGTGCAAGCCAGGCAGGCTGCTGGGAGAGGCAGGAGCTGCCTCAAGAAGAGTGTGCCTTGATCTGAACTAACAGACTCCTGCAGGTGTACCTGCACTCCCACAGGCATCCATTTTGTGGTCAAAAATAGACATAAAAGTTGAGGTTATGCACAGCACTTTAGCTGGCCAATCTCTTCTGTGAAAGGATGCACTGAGCTGTTTTTCCAGAAGCATGACATTCTGAAGCCCAGTCTGAAACCCAGGGCTATGCTGCTTCTAATCCTAGCTCTCCTCTGAAATGCACATCTCTCTTTGTCCATCATTTTATCTGCTTATTTTCCTTGCCTGGGTTTTCTGAGGATTCAATTTTGCACATTAGTCCTAAGATGTGCAGGCTTCCATATAGGCATTGAAAGAAAAATAAGTTGAAAAAAAATTTCACATATACAAGTAAAATTGCTTTATCATTATCATATTTATTGTTTTATTATCATATAAAGAAAAAAAAAGGAAAGAAACAAGAAGGAAAGACAGACTTCATGATCAGGATATTGTCAAAGAGAAGTGGAGCTGGAAGGTGTCCAAACTTGGCGAGTATGCAGACATTTCCACAGTGCTTAGAATCTCCTCCACAACATCTGTGTTCAGCATCAAAATACTCTGTTTTGTGAGTTGAAAGAGTTAAATTTTCCTATTCCTTTCAAGTTGATTTTGTACTTGTATTGGAATAATGAATTAAATGCTATGTTTCTACTAAATGCTGCAGATATTACATAGGGTAGTATCTATATGGATATTTCTATTCCATATAGGTACTGTTTTGACAGTATCTAAAACCCATACCTAAAACCCATAATTTTTAAGAATTTTTTTCTGAGAAAAATTTGATTTTTTTTTTAGGATTTTTTTTTTCTGATTCAGCATGTTGAAATGTTGAAATATTAATGTTTCCCCAAGCGTGGAAATTCTTACTGGTTGTAATTATAATTATCCTAAATGCTTTTGTTTCTTAAGCCAAATAGAGCAATAGCAGCTAGAATATGCTGGCCTACATGTTGTAATCTATTGAAATTCACATCTTATGCTTTTTATTTGAGCAATTTTCCCTAATTTTTATTTTCTTACTGTGTATGCAACTTATGCAAGACATATTTATTCTAAAATAGCTGTTAGTCATTTAAATCTTTTGCTCTATTGTTTCTAACACCAGACATTTCAATAATGGCATCTTAGCAAAGCATAAAATGTCTTTGACTTTTTATGACAACATTTGTTTGATCTGTTCCCTTCTTGCTTAGGTTATGAAATTAGAGAAGAATAGCTATTGATAACCAAAGAAAAATATGTATGGAAAGTTTAAGATTTTTCCAGTAAGCCACTCAAGTATGAGCTCAATTTGTTTTTCTTTTATACTTCTTTTCTTAGGTATTGTCTCTTTTTTTATGACTATGTCTAGAGATACTCATATCCCCAGGTGAGACCTGAGAGGATTTAAGGGGAAGAACACACCATCTGGAACACTTTTCACTTTCTGCATTTACAACATGATTTAGCTGTACCCATCAGCTCTGCAGCTTGACTTGGGCTGTGCAAGTTGACTGGTGTTTCTCTAACTGCTGTCCCATAGGATTTATGGTTCTGCAGTCCAAATCCACCTTCCAGATCCCTGCAATCTCACTGACAATTCATGATGATGTATGAGGTTAGTTGAGGATACCATTTGCAGTTATGTGGAATCATGTAATGCCTTTATTTCCTTTTTCCTTTTTTTTTTTTTTAACCTAGGGTCACTTTCTGGAGCAAATTAATGGTTTAATTACAGGGGCCTTATGGTCAGTAAATAAATTTAAGACTCAAAGGCAGTGTTGCAGTGACTAGTGATAAAGCAGAAGAGTCACAGTTTGGATAATAGATTTTCTACAGTATTTACATTTCAGTTATCACTGGGTTTTTTCCACTCTTGGGAAACCAACCCAAAAGCAGACTGGCCACTATTAAAGCTGAAAAAGCCCCCATGGATTTAGAAGATGAAGGATTGGTTTTTGGCTTGCTCAAAGAGACTACTGGAGCCCTACTACAAGGCCTTTTAGTTAGGATTGATGGAGGGGAACATTTTGTGTTGGAAGGTCATTCTGGCTGCTGCTTTATTTTCTGTTTGTCATCTGTTTTTACAGACCTGAAAAAGGGCTGGGCATTTCCAGCCAGCCCTCCCTCCCTATCCTCCTTTCTACAGTATTCTTGAATATTCTATGATGAATAGAGGGGCAACTCTGCCCTTTCATTTTGCAGCTGGGTGTCATGTCCAAAGAGAATCAAAGCCTACTGAGATGCAATCCATGGACTTGCCGGGCTTTGATTCTTGCCCTTCATGCATTATCAGAGAAAATTCTCAGCCTAAGGAATTTGTATAACTATTGAAAAGATACTAAGAGCTGCAAATTGACTTTTCCTGGCCATAGAAACATAGAATCAGATTGAACAATTCCAAGGATCACAATTAGCACTAGTCCTGGAGATAGTTGGCAATATGGACCATAAGACCATGCAGCCTCTCTCTCATTCCTGGAGCTGGACTGTATCCACTGGGATTTTGTCATTCTGTGCCAGAGAAAGTGACAGGTGAAGTTGAAACTTTATTTTAAACCTTTAACTTCCCATGTCACTTGACTATACCCTTGAAGGAAAGTGATTTATGATACTGGCTTTGCCTTCCTTGCTCTACTAGGAGATGAAGTGATGCCTGACAGGGATATCCATCTTCATTGCTGATATTTTGATTGGAATTGGTGGGTGCTAAAGATGCAAGAGACAGTGACTGTGCCTTTCAAAATATTAGGAGGTGAAGAAATATGCTTGAGGAGCTGGCAGATTATCAGATTATAAAAAATCCAAAAAAAAAAGAAATCTCAGTTAGAAAACCAGTGGTTTTTTTTTTGCTGACTCTGTTAGTCCATAGGGGTTTTGTCATGTAATTGTTACTGATCTTAACAGATATATTTCTTTCTAGACACACAACAGGTCTTATTTCTCAGTTTGAATATTTTCAACTAGTTTATTCCATAAATAAATAAAAAAGGACACTGAAAAATAGGCAAAGCCTAAGATTTTGCAAATCCACTAAGTATCACAAAATACAGGAGGATTTCTTCTGCTTCCAAGGCTGCTGGAGCTGGGTGGCAATTGGGAGTGCTTGGTATTCTGGTAGTGACCCTCCTCCCTCAAGAGCCAGATCCTCAGAAGAGTCGCAGCATTGAGAGATGAGAGCGTGGGCTTGGGTTTCTCTGCAGAAAGGTCAGAGGCAGCAGCCTCCAGCTGCAAGTGCAGGTACAAGGCAACAAAGAAAAATAAACAGAAGCTTTGCAGGGAATGGACTGAAGCAAGGAAACAATATAACAAATAAATGTAAAACATTTTTTTCTCATTTCCAAACTCTGTCAAGGATGGTGCTGGTGGGCACCATCTCTACCTGCTTGTTTGTTTTCCCCTGACACAAATATTTCCTGTCATCACCAATGATAATTTCTGGAGACACTGGACAGAGGTGATAAAATCACTCCACATTTCAAATACATGTGGTTTTTAGTCACCAATAATTTATGCTAGTTTTTTACTGGTGGCTACGAGTTATCAAGAAATGTATCATCTGGGTAGTGATGATAAATGCAGAACAAACCTGAGAGAGGACAAACCTGAGTAGTGTGCAACTGATGCATAGTAAATGCAATTGAAGATAATATGATTTCTGTTTGCAGGCACAATGCTAATACTGAAAGAAGAGCAAAGTTTCCCTTTGTGCAGGGGGCCTGAATGCACCAAAAATCACCTCCTGAGCACTCAATATTATGTACTTCTTGTCCTTCTCTAAAGATGTGAGTGAATTTCAGTCAAAGGACACAAACCAACCACATAGAACCATATTCAGTTCTTTTTATTTTCTACTGGAATCATTGCAGCTTGTATAAATGTAAACTGGTTAGTCTGGGAGCAGAAAACACTCAACCAACAATCAAGCTTAATTAAGTATCTGTACTAAGTGGGCCCACCATCCAGTGCAATGATCAGAAAATGGCTGGAAGTTATTGAGGAAAATCTTTGAAGCTATCAGTCTAGTGCATAGTGAAAAGCTCAAATATAATAGATTGCAGTAGATTGGTCTGAGTAAGCAAGAAAATAGCAGGGAACACATCAGATTCTTGATATATGGAAAATTGCTTTTGTTTTCTGGGAAAAAACCTGAAGCATCCATACACGCACTCAACAGGTGTGTTTATTTTCACATATGATATAGTTAGCAGCTTGTATATCAATGTGTACATCAAGTGTTTGCTTTTAGAAAATTATATTGATTGGGGCTTTTTGTCTTTTTAGAAAAACCATTGCAATACATACTGTGAGCATAGGGAATGACACAGCAAAAACAAGAGAGAAGCAATCAGCATGGTTTCCCCCCCCAGCAGGAATAAATCATTATAACTATAAATCACACAAGTTATTACAGGGCTCAAACAGCCCTGAAAATTCCAAGTAGCAGAAGCAGATAATTAAAGAGGAAAAGTTGAGACCAAGCCTTCAATTTAAACTGTTTCAAAAACTCATTGCAAATCCCTTTCTTTTTCTTTTCTCACTCTCTCTTTAAGTGGAAAACAAATGTAATTGGAAAAACAAAGTGCACCAAAAATATTACTTACAAATTGTCCTTAGCAGCATAATGGCCTAATTGGTGAAGGGGTGATGCAGTCCCAGAGTATGGAGAATGGCACAGATGGAGAGCAGTTGTGTGTGCTGATGAGAGGGCAGATGCTCTCAAAGGCATTTTGCAGCATTAGATATCCTGGCTCATCTCCATCGGCGGCACCGATCTCATCACTCCCAGCATGTGAAGAGATTTCACCCTCTAATGCCAGGGCTGCATGGCTGTAATGAGATGCACCAGTGCTGGAGACAGCATGAGAGCCCAGAAGCAGAATTTTAGGAAAACATCCAGAGCAGTTGTCATCTGTATTTTCATATGACCTTGCAGTTCAAAATAGGGTAGACAGCAGCCTGGCATGACTAGCTGATTCTGTGCAGGCCTTAACAGGAACATCCTTTGTTGGTGGTTCACTTATTACTCATCCCTTAGTCTCTGCCTAGTTTACACTTGTAGTTTTGTTCTATAAATATATGAAATACTCTTTATATCAACACCTCTTTCTGTGTTGAAGTCTCAGTTACAGTATACACTCCATTGTACAGTTTGAACAGGGGATGTCTAAATAAAAGTTGACAGATTGTGTTGAATTGTGAATTCCCTCTGAAGAGACATAGAAGACCTTTTACAGTAAACAGGAAATGAGTAAGACAAAAAAGCAGCTTATGAATTAAATTGTTTAAAGATAGACTGAGAATTTTTCTTTCCTGCCTCATACAAAAGTAAAGGACTATGAAATGAAATCAGAAGGTGGTAAATTATAAAATATTGTATAAAAATATTTTGTGACATGATATATATAATCATATAAATAAAATGCAGCAGACCTAGAAGAGACAATAAACTTAAAAAATATTTTTGAGTATCACCTACATATCAAATACATATAAAGAGACAATTAAAGGCAATAGGATAAAAAAAAGGATATAAAATCTTCAGAATCCTAGCATAACAAGCATTACTAAATAGCAGAATAATAGGTAGAGAAGGAAAGTAGAGATTACCAGGCAGGAGGTTGTTTGCTGAGAAGATTTTAAACTTCCTCTGAGATACCTGATCCTGGCTGCTATAACAGATATATACAAATCTGTGCTGATTTTCCATCTCATCCAGTGTGGCCCTTCAGTGCCTGATCCTGTGCCTGAACTACAGATTATGCATTCTTCCATATGCATTTCAGAAGCTGAGTAAATTTTTTTTTCATAATATCATGATTTAAACTATTTTTTTTGATTAGCAGCAGGATCAGTTAATAATTAAATAGAGAAAAAAAATCAAACTGCAGGTAGAAAAGAGGCCATTTCTTTGAGTCTGATTATGGGCAAATTTGTACACTTTTCTGTAAACAAACTGTATTTTGATGAAGCAGTAAAGTTCTCTTTCATTTCATACTCTCCCTATTTATTCAACAACAAAAAAGACAGAACCAGATCCTTGATTGCTATTAATGGCATATTGTAAGCATTGGTTGCAAGACAATGCAAAACAAGGGCATAATTGATATCATGACAAACAAAAACCAAGGGAAGCCAGATATGAAATCTTGGCTTCTCCTTGAGAAAAAAATCAAAAACAAACTAATAAACCAACTAAAACACAGTGAAATGGCTGTTAGTCTCATAATTAAGAAGCAAAACCCCAATAAAAGGCTGGCCAGAAGTGAAATGGGTGCAAGACCCAACATGCAAGTTGCAGGAAACCCCCTTGGTTTTGCAATTAGAAACCCAGCTAGTGAAACTATGAGCATAAAGCCACTCATCCTGTACGTAACGTATGGTTTTTGTTGCTTATTCTGCTTTCATCTGAAACAGTAGTAAAGGCTTCTGGAGTTACACTTTTGATGGGTAAAAACTTGTTTGCTAGGGCTTGCAACTCCAATACATGGTTATCAGGAGAATTTGGACTCCATCACTAGTGTTTTTGTAGCTAGTCCGTGTTACAACCAATATAACTCCTTTATTCAAAGTAGTAACAACGCTGTAATGTGATTTATATACAAAAATCCCTACTCTTTTGAGTAAGGAAGTTACAGCATAAACCAATACCTTTAAACACTTCTCTATTCACTCCTGGGTGGCAGAAAATGCCATTCGCCTTCCACATGCTTAATACAATTTGAAAATGTTATTTTAGTCTCTGTACACATAAATGTGCACATACATTTACAATGTATATATATATATATATATATATATATATATATATATATATATACTTTTTTTTATTACTAAAGTAGTCTAAACTCACTTTAGTAATCTAGACTTTAGATAAATCCGCTTTGTAGTGAAGTCAGGGGGTAGGAAAACATCTTCTAGCTGGGATTATGGAATAAAATGTTCTGTATTGCTAAAGCAGCTTATCCTATACTTATCAATTAACAGTTAGAGTGACAGTTCTGACTGGGTGGTGGTATTTTTGCAAGTTTCTGGAAAACAAATAGGCTAGTTTTAAGAAGTAGGTTTAAAGATTGCAAGTCATCTCTTTAATTGTTGGTTGGTTTGGATTTAGGCCTTTTCCTTGATGAAAAAATACTTGTTATAAAACTGTTTTAAAAGCTTCTTATGCATGTAAAATACCTATGCCATTTTATAATATAATGCTGGTACTTAAACACATGCTCTTAGACATACAAACACACACAAAAAATCCCCGAACTCAGACACTAAGAATTTAACATATATATACAAGCAGCAATAGCTGAGTCCTTTAGGTTAGGCTTATTGTCATTAAATACTGAATGTAAATGGCTGATATTACTGAAACAGCAGCAGCAGATTAGAAAGTAATATGAAGCCAAAACTAATCCAGAATCTGAAATGCATCATTTCTAACCACTGCACCTCATGGGAATCTGAATTTCATCTATCAGGCTCAAGCAATTTCATCTCTCAGAGAAGCCAGAGGACTAAGAATTACCCACTTTGTTACATATTTGAGAATATCTAGCGAGAGATTTTTAAAAATGGCCAATGTTTCATTCTGTACTGTCTCAGCAGACTGGGATGTGATGATGATGTTGAATTAAACTACCATCTTAATAGACTTTCAAATTAAATTATCATAAGTAATGGATTACATATAATCAAAATAGTTTATGACCTCTAAAAAATATGAAGACTAATATCATATATAAAATTGGAATCAGACATAGAATCATAGAATATTTCAAGTTGGAAGGGCCTGAAAGTATTATTGATTGCAGGTCCCTGCTCCTTGCAGGACTGTCCAAAAATAAACCATGTGACTAAGAGCATTGTCCAGATGCTCCCTGAACTGTGGCAGGCTTGGTGCCATGACTACTTCCCTGGGGAGCATGTTCCAGGGATCAATCAAAACTGAAAGTGTGTTCTTAACAGCTGTCAGGATGAGCCTTTGGCTTTTTCCATCCTTTAAATTATTTTTATAAGCAGAATGAAATTTCTTTGATAATTTCTAGGGCATACATTCTAGGGGGTCAAACTACAATTCTGGAACATTTGGCACTTCCTCAGAGACGAATATTGGAGAAAGTGCAAGGTGTAAAGCCTGCTGAATCTTCTCTGCAGTTGTTCTTAAGGCAATTTGGCATTGATCACACTTTGATTTGCTTTTACGCTGAGAAAAATGAGATGAAGAATGAAAAATAAAGCTCAGTGTTTACTGAGACTTGGATCATCCCAAGGACAAGGAATGAGAAATGTCTCCTCAGCCATCAGATGTCTCCTCTTACCTTGTCTATGCCATATGTGAATTCGTCCTCAAAAATAGCAGGAGATACTTACTCTTTTGTTTAACTTTTCCCTTCAAATTTAAAATGTTGAGTCTGTTAATTTCTTGGCCATGTGAGTTTTTCACACAGTTCCTTTGTGTTTGGTGAATTAATGTAATGCTATAGAATAGCCGAAGTCCAAACAAGCAGTGCACAAGCCAAACATAAACAAGTTATATAACACTGCAATCATTCATTTATTAAAGTGGAAAATTCAAGGCATACGTAATCTTTTTGGACAACTGACAGGCAGGTGTGATCAAGAGAACAGAGAATCCAGTGATTGTAGGCAGATAGAGAGACAGGTTTGTCTGGGTGATTAGAAAGTAAAGTGAGATGGAATTGGGAAAAATGGGAGAGAGCATTGGCTGTCCCAGGACAAGGAGAAGTAACAGTGCAGAGATTGCTGAAAGGGTTAGAGGAACAAGCTGCAGCACTATTAAGTGTCTAGGGAGATTAGGGAGACAGGACCTATTGACAAAGAGTAGTGCAAAGCATCTGTTCCAGAGGCAAGGGATAAAAAGAAGGGTAAAGTGGGTTTAAAGAACTGCCAGACCATTTCCTACTCTCAATAATCCCCCAGTGTATTTGATATAGAAGGGAGAAAGAGAACATCGGGCCCTGCACATGTCCAGCTCAGGTCACTGCTGCATCCCCCTGTCTGTGATTTCACCTCTCAGCACATCTCTGCCTGGGGTCAGAGAGGGGCAGCTGCCCCTCACCCCAGCACTGCCACAAGATAGGTGATTTTACTGCACCAGGCTTTTCAGCTCCACTTGCTTTCAAACATCCTCACCCTACAGACCAGAAGGTTGCCCATCTTCATCCTTCCCACTGCATGACATGACCAAGGTTAGCAGTGAGCTGGAACATTTTTTAACGAAGTTAAACCAAAGTGAACCAACCTCTAGGCTTTCTCACAGTTCTAATCTTCTGTCACCTGCATGTCTTCCTTTGCATCATGTTTGGCCTGATCTTCCCTCCAGCTTGTTTTACACATCTCTTTACCCATCACTGCATTTGCTCTCTCATATGCCACAGTCTTAGAGACAGGCAGCTGGAAACACCCAGTCAGTCTTTAGAAACATCAACAGAAATAAGAGATGCTCTTCCCATCCTTGGGGGAGCACTGAGGTCAGAACTGCCCCCAGGGAGCCAAGTGTAAAAGCAGTGTGGGTCCTAAAGACAACATGTAGGAATCCAATCTAACAAGCCAATTGTCAGTTGTTGAAGTCAATTGTTGAAGCAAGAATACATCTGGAAAAGTATCTTCATACTGATGTGAGGTACACACAGACAGACTGGGGTCACTTCAAGCTGTATGAAAAGCTCATAACAGGTAAGAAAAAACACCTGCTTTTCTGGCAGCAGCACGTGCCTCCACTGACTGTCTAAATCATCAGTCACAGTCCCAAACTCACATGCATGTGCATGGGGCACAATCGTTGCCATTTTGGCCAATTCTGTCCAGCTCTGAAGATCTTGACATTCAAACTCCATCTCTCAGCTTCCTTGACCTGGTCACCCATCTACCATCAGTGTGAGGACACCCTGCTTGTGGCGTGGAGTCACCTGCTTGTCTATAGCTGATATGCCCAAAACCAACACTCTCATGTCTTCAAGGATTTAGTCCCACTGCTTCCTGAAGCTGACTGGCCAACTGCAACAGCAGTGAGTGCAATATTCAGGAAGTGTCCACAAACAGCACAGATGAGACCGGGGCACTCTGCTTTCAAACCTTCAATACCAACAGTAGCAGTGCTGTCACAGTCCCATTTGGGTAAGGGGATGGGCAGGATTACGTGCACCTGAAAGCTGGTCTGCTGCGTTCCCCCCACAAACCTTGCCTTGAGCAATTTTATTTTATGTGGCACTCAAGTATTCTTGCAAGCAGATGCAACAAAAATACAGGTGCAGATCAACTCACGATGCCCAGTTTTTGAGGGGTGATTCTGCTTTATTATTTCCTTCTTAATAGAATAGTGCTAGCCACACTGATGAAAGATGTGTTTGTCTTACAGTATTGCTAAGGAAGAGATCAAAGACAGGTGTCATGGACCTGGGTGTCATGGAAAACTCTTGCTCTGCACCATAATAATCTTTCTATCCATTTACTGAACCCTAACAAAATACCCTTAGCTATGGGCTGGGCAGGTGCTTGCAGACATCCCTATACAAACACTGAAATAATCACATGGCAGTTGTTGACACTAGATATCTTTTAACACAAATGAACTAACTGTCAACAAAGCCATTTCTACAGTGGGCATAAATAATCTTTTTTTATTTAATAGCATTATTTTCTTGGTGTTAGAATATTGCCAGTACACCCTGCTTGTTTAAATGTCTGAAATTCCTCTGCTCCTCTCCTGTCCTGACTAACAGAAACACCAAGCCATTATAATGCAACAGCTTTTCCCTTACCCCATCTGAGGCATTAAGGAATGTATTAGCCAGAGTTGGATGTTCAATGGAACCTTGACACCCTGTTCTTCTTTTGCTGTGATTTTCTGATGAAAATCAATTCCTCTGTTTCACTCTCTGTGGGGTTTTTTTCTATTCTTCTCTTTCACATATATGCTAGTTCTTATCCCCTGAGTGCTTATCATCCCTTGTGCACAGGATTTTGTCAAAGTGCTTTTGAAACTTCATGTATGTTAATCAATCAGTTAATCTACTTACAAATATTTTCCAATAAATCCAGGAATTACATAAGAACTGATTTCCACTGCTGAAATAAGGCTGGTTACATCTAGAATTTCCATATAACTTCTTGTTCTTTCAGCCAAGTCAAGTTGTCCTGTACAGTGTGAAGCCTATTAACACCCTTGCTCAGTTCTAAATATATGTAGTATTTTAAAGTGTTTTATGATAGAAGTTTTTAACAAAAGCTTGTGTATTTTTGTTAGCACCTCACCTGCCTTATGTCTCCATGCAAGTTTTGTGGGTAGATATGTTTGGAGATTTAAAAAAAAAATTGTATTTTTGTAATTGCTTTTTTTCTGCATACCTTCTTCTAACTCTGATCTCAGAGTCTTGACTGAGAGGCAGGGGGGATGCTCAGAACTTACGTGATATGGAGAAGGCATATGAGGGAAGGGGAATGTCAACCAGACTAAACTACTCATGCTTCAGGCTTTTCAGACCAGATAGATCCTGAAAGTGTGAAATACACTGAATACTTAGATGTACAAATACAAAAGTTGTTGCAGACATGATTGATTAAAAAAACACCAAAACAACTCAGCAGGAACAATATGCACACTATACTTCTTGAATAATAGCTGAGTGGTTTGAGCATTTTGTGGATGAGGAGAAGCTGTTCCTATTCCAAGACTCCACTGCATTTATTAGTCCCTATTTCGTCCTGTTCTTCTCTAGTCTAAAAGGTGTAGATTCTTCAGGGAATGTGGATTTGAGCACTGTTGCCTCTTTCCCGTGAACTTAGATGCTAGGCTAAAAAACCCTCAGATTTCTTTCCTTTACTGTGTTCCTGGGTGTCACCTCCTAATAGCCACACTGGCAAAGGTAATTCTTTTCCCAATGAGACCATTTTCTTGAAAAGTGAAATACCTGAAAAAGGCTGATAGGGACCAAAAGCCATCCCTATTCATGGGGAAATGCTGTAGCATGGTTCTGTTACACAGAAGGTTGATCTTAGGGTTGATCTTAGAACAATCTATTGTCTATCTTGCCCAGTGTAACTGAAGAACAGTAAGTATGTCCCTTCAGATTGCCCACAGCAGAGGAGCCTGCTCTCAGTCTCCAGGACTGTGTAGCTTGCAGACACCTCTCCCTCTGGCAAATTTTCTTTCTAAGTAACATAGGCTGCCTAAAAACTTACTGCTCTGTACAGGCCTGCTATGCTTAAGTGCCCAATATTATGCACGATGATGTCTAGTTTGAGGGAACCTAAAATTACTCTTCTTGCATAGAGGAAGGGAAAGAAAGGCATATGCCAAAAAAAAAAAAAAAAAAAAACCCAAACCAAACCAAAACAAAAAAGGCAGCCTGTCAAAATTGTCTGCAGGTGAAAAAACCCCTACCATGAATTCCACATGTAATCCCAAGTGACTGTTTCCCAGCATTGCCTATTACTGTGAGCAACTCCCTACTGAACCTGAAAGCTCCTCAGGCATTTAACTATATTCACCCACACATGTTAAGGAGATCCTGTTCTGGGGAGATAGGCACTTATCTCTTGCCTCAAGTCCCAATACAATCCAGCTTAGGAAGACAGGCATTTAAATCCCTTTTAGAAGCCTGAAAAATTAGCAGCAGTCAGAATTATGTCTGGCTTTTTCGGACATGGGCCATCAGCTCCCACATGGGTACAAAAGGCTGAGAGCATGACTTGAGCTAAGCACAGGAATGCAAGTGTGCATTTTACCATTAGAGAGGGACTGATGTGTCACTGACATCTTACAAGACTACCCCAACTATTACACCACACTTGGGCAGAAAGCATCAACCTCTGCTACTGTGTGTAGATACGAGGAGTTGTTGGCTCCAGTTCTCACCTCAAGAGAAGAAAAAACAAGGGCAGGAAACTTACATGTGGAAAAGATGTGTCATACAACAGACAAGAAAAGCAAAGCATAACTTGTAGCTCTCCACCCTGTGCCAGAGAGCATCTGGGCTGCTAGGCCAACCTTGGGTTTGCTTGTGTCCTCTGTGATGTGGCCCTGTGCCTCATGTGTTCCAGGCTGCACAGGCGCTCAGCTGCAACACCCACCATCCACACTACCCCAAGGCTGCTGGTTCTGCCATTCTGCTGGGAAGTTGGGACTCAGGGCTTAATTAGAGTCTAAAAACATCACCCACTTCCTTTCCTACAAGTTTTTGCATCTTTACGCAAAATGTGGGTGGAAGCACTGTGATCTCATTAAAGTCAGTCCTGCAGGGGGGATAGAGGCTGGATCCTGTGTTGATGGAGTGTTAGGAGTGTTTCAGATGAGTTTCCAAGAGGACATCAGTGCTCTAGCTGCAGGCTGGCTTTGCCCACTGGCACTGGGAGCTCAGTTCCAGCCCGTGGAAAGAAGGAGGCACTCTAAGTGCCTCAAAGAAAGCTGTCATTTTCTGCAGGTCCTCAGAAGTGCCTCTCTTTGTGTCCTCTGCCCATACAGCAGAGCTGAGGAATTAGATTGCTCCTCTTGTCCCTTCCAGGGCTAAGACACCTAAAATTTCATTGAGGTAATAACGTCTCAGTAAGCGATCTAAAGTAGTTGGATGAGATTACAGCCTGAATATTTGGGGCTTTGGAGTAAATGACTGCAAGACAAACCAAAGTGTCAATAATAAGATGCAAGCTGTTGAAAACCAAAGAAAAGAAAGTATTGATTAAAATAAGGATGTATTAGAGGACTATTTGAAAAGAATCAAAGACTACAGCCTTTTGTAATTATTTTCATTCCTCCTCCATGCCCCATTAGCCTTTAGAAAAAAAAAATAATTTAATATCTTGTTGGAAAAAAAATTTCTTATCTTTTCTGTGACGCTGTACTCATGAACCATGGAGGGCTGAAAATAATTTGTAATACACTGAGAAAAAGTAGTGGGTCCAATAAGACTGTAATGTTAACCCATCAGTTTTCCCTCAGTTAGTCTAATTCCTTGGACAGCATTGCCTGAAAAAAGACAGAGGAGTATTTATTGCAGTAGCTTGAATATGCATCAATTGATTTTATTATACTAGAAAACCTGAGAAAGTATGGTTTATTTATATACAGATTGTGTAAATACACTGTAGGCAAGTTTCACAGTTTAATGTTGAAAGGGCTTTCATTAATGGTTTAGTTCTGAGAAAAGGATGTAAAGCAACATAAAAGAGTCAGGATTTGATTTTTACTGAGATAACTTGAAAGAATAATTCACCTTTAGTAAATGTGTTTCTTCTTTCATGTTGTTTTATGTGTTGCTCTTTCTAGTACTCCATGCATGGTTGCAAAAAATATACATTAAGAATGAATCTCTCATTGATGTGACTTAATGATGTCTATAATTTATGTTTGCCTAATTCTCTGTGTTAATAAAAAAAAATCACCAAAGATCCATAAAATTAAATGGTTGGTTTTGTCCTGGAGCAACTATACATATGCTTTTACTTTGAGTGTGTTTCTGACAGAAGACATGAAGTCAGCTCTGCTGAGCAATCTGATACTGAAAAAATATCTTGTTAATCGTATTGTTTTTTAGAAAGTATGGAGTGGGTTTTTTTTTAAAGGTTAGGAGACTGCATTTCAAATACACTTTCAGAACTTTGTATGGCTTCCCATCCTTCTCAGAGACAAAAAGTTACCTAAAGATTTGAAATTGAATATATGGACCAACGTCTTCTATTGTGCAATGACTGAGTTTGGTTTGTATCGATACTGAGGCTCATCTGTATTTTTGAAAACCCACCGGTTCTGTAAATGAAAGCCACGGCATCAGGACTAGGCGCTCTATTTCCTGTAGCCGAAACCAGCCACCTACCGCAAGAGCTGGCAGATAGGACCCGCTTCTCTGTCCCGAGTACTCAGGCTAAGGCTAAAACTGAAAACGCGATATAGCATGCGATACACCAGTTATCGTTGTAAAGAACGTATTCGTCAGACAGGTGTAAAATTCCGGCTCCTGAGGTAGGAAAGCTCCGTACACCGAGCTACATTTGGAGGAATCGGTACCTGCAACTGAGACCTCGAGAGGAGTGAGCCTGAGGGATGCCCGAGGTGAGAGAGGCCGTGCCCAGACCCAGCGACGCCGTGGGAGTCCGCAGTAGCCCCTTATTTGTGCCAAAGTGAAGGGAAATGGTGAGACAACCCGATGAGCTCTTTCAGCCACGGCATCCTGAAGCAACGCCGTGTGCTCACTCCGCCTAGGCACTGACAGGCTTGTAGCTGTCACGGATGTGGCAGCATGAGTCCCTGCGCCCCAACCCCTCGGCCTCACCGGGCGGGCTGTCACGCTGCTACCGCCTCCCCCCTGCCTGCAGCTGCCGCCCCTCTCCGTCTCCCCCTGCCCAGCCGCTCGGGCGTCCCGGCGGGGGCTGAGCCGCCGCCTTGTCGCCGCTGCCGCCGCCGAGGCCGGTCCGCCCGCCGCCGCCCCTTCCCTTCCCCCGCCACCGCACATGCCCAGAAGGGCGGGAGCCGCGGCGAGCCCGGGCGCTGCTGTGACAGCGGCGGCGCTTTCCCTTCCGTGGGTGGGTGGGGGCCGCGCCGCGCCCCCCGGCCCGGCCCGGCCCGGCGGAAACACTGCGCCGGCCGCCGGCTTGCCCAGTGCCTTCCCCGCCGCGCCCCGAGCCCGCTGCCGCCGCGGGGCGGGAGGCGGCCATGTCGCTATTGTCTGCGCTGGTGCCCTTGCTCCGGGTGTACTGCATCGGCCTCCGCGTCATCCTGCACCAGCTGCGCCGCCGCTTCCAGCCGCGGTGCGCCCCGGCCTCAGGTGAGCACCGCAGCCGGCGCCGCGGGGCGGGGCGGCTCCGGGCCGGGGGGCGGCAGCCCCCGCCGCGGAGAGGGGAAAGTTTGCTGCGCCTCCCCCCACCCACCACGGGCAGGCGGCAGTTCGGGGCCCTGGGGCCGAGACCGCGCGGCCCAGCCGGGAGCGGCCGGACAGGGAAGGGGAGAACGGGGCAGGGCAGCCGCGACCTTGGCTATAGCGAGGGGCGCTCGGGCAGTGCCGCATCCCCCGAAGCGGGGCAGGGGCTGAGGCACCGCGGCGGCCCCGGCACGGGCGCCGCCGCCGGACTCCTCCCCCGCTCCCCTTCGCCGGCCGAGCGGGAGCCGCCGAGCTGCCCGAGGGCAGCGGCCCCGGGGGGCTGCGACTGGCGGGGCGCCCTCCCCGCCCCCGCTGCACCCCGCCCTCGCTGCCGGCGCCAGGCCCCGGCCCCACCGCCCCGTCCGGCCCCCGGGCCGCGGCCGCCCCGGACGCGGGGCGGGGCGGGGGGCCGGGCCCGGGACGGGCGCCTGGCTGCACGCCGGCCTGACTTGTGGCCTCGGGAGGCGGTGTGGGGGTTCCGTGGTCAGGGGGTCCCTGCTTCTCTTCTTCCTCTCTTTGGCTCTCTGACAGTGTCTCCCGAGACCTCGGCTCAGAGCCGCGCGGGCGCTCCCTCCCTCAGCCCAGGTAGGTGCTTGGAAGGCGGGTAGCGGCGGGCAGCTCCCCCGGCCCGGGCGCTCCTGCTGCCCCCTGTGCCCCCACCCCACCGGGGCCTCCGGGAGCGCCGCTTTCGGCTTCCCTGTCCCGGGTGCTCCAGGAGGCGAACGTACCCGTGCTCCAAAAGCTTAGTATTTGATACCGGCTGACACTCGCTGACAGCCTTTAAGCTGCCAAGTGAGTGACACTTGCAGTTTTTTTTCTAAGGGACTTCTGATTAGTCGTTAGTTTAAGAAGTTAGGTTTTTGCACTTTTCTGATTTGGATCAACAGTGTGTTAAATGCTGACTTAGGGGAAACTTTGAGTTTATCAGAAAAAAACCAATTATCTACTTGCATTACTCTTGAAGGCTAAAACATTTCTGACTTTATAAACTTAGAGCAAACTGAGTTCAGGCAGATGTGTAGGTTATCATCAGAGCTGACCATACAGCTGCGTTGAAGTCCTTTAACTTTCTCTCTTTAACAGCAAGTGAGCCTTTGTGGCCCTGTCCATAGTTTTAACCAGAGGAATAGTAAAAAAGTAATATTGAGAGGGCCTAGTGTTTCAGTAAGGAATTCAGGCAGATGAGGATATTGGTAAAGACAATAGCTGAAGTACTGGGAAGGGGATGGAACAAGTACGCCGCACAATAGGAGCTTATTTGTTCATCTTATCACACCTCGCATCCTTGGGTAGTGTTTTGTGTGCTTTTTATTCATTCCTGATTCTTCTGCTGGGGTTCCCTTCCTCATTCTCAGAAGGCAGCAATGAAATCCTCAAACAAACGAGAGGACCCCGGTGACAAAAAGGGCAGATGTGCATATGGTTTGAAGTCATCTGAGCATTTTTCTAGCATTAGCGTTTCTTGGCAGAGGAAATTTGGGTATTTTGCCTAGGGTGTGTAACACTTTCCAAATCTTTTTTTGAACCACAGAGAAACAGCATGATGAAAATGTGACCCAGTGTTTTGTTGCACGCAGCTCTTTGCTGCTAGTGAAAAAAAAAGCATTGAATTTGGAAGTGCCAGAGGAAGGCAATGAAGATCCAACCCAGGAAATGCCACTTAGCTAAGTGGGACCAAGGCAGATTTGACAGATGTGAAAAGTTTTCTTTGAGCCTTAACTTGTGATCTTTTTTTTCCAAGGACAAGTGGTTTCGTCCTCAGCTTGTTGTTTGCACGCAGTTCCCTCTTGGCAGTTACCTGCTGCCTTGCTTTCACTTGCTGTGTCCAACCATTGCTTGAAGAACTGCTTCACCTTAACATCTGCGACCTTTTTACCCAGATGAACCATGTTTCCATAATAACTTCAAAATAGTGATGTCAGTGTAACAGAAAGAAAAGTGTTGTTAGAACAAGCTTGGGTCAGTAAACTACAGTTCCTGTAAGAAAACCCCGAGTGCCTTTTTCAGGCCGTAATCTAGAAAGGTGTATATGTTTAAAATTTTCTGTATCTTTTCTAAGGGGTGTCCATAACTCTCACAAGTATGGGCATTTTATTGTCAGGGTCCTTTCCTCAGGAGAGCTTGGAGTGGCAAAGGGGAGCTGGGAGCAGGACTGGGAGGCAGAGATAGCCATTCCTCTGATCCTCTCTTCCTTGGCCCCAGTTTCCATATCAGAGTTCCCACTCTCTGTGCAACAGCACTGCAGATCTCACTTGGAAGATTTAAAAGAGAGAGATGTCTGCTGGCTTGTCCTTTAGCTCTGTGGACGAGTGAAAGGTTCTGGTCTCAATGCAGCCCTTCTGCCTCTGAATTTTCCGAGAAAAGCTTGCTTTCTTATTCTTGTTGTGAAGAAGGTCTCAAGATTTTAATCCAAGTAAACAAAACTAGTTTCACTTTTATTTTTCCTTACCCTAACTTAAGAGTTGTGTGCTCTTGGCACATGTGCTTTTAAAACTGACCCATGTGTTCTTTCACATCCTGCTGGAGTTCATCTGATTTTTATAGATGGAATTCAAGACATTTTTTTGGGGAAAGAGTTTCAGCTCTGAAATCTAGGTTCACTGCAAAAACCTGGTAATTGTTTTGAGTTGCAAACTGAAAAAATAATAACATTCTCTATTCAAGTGAATGTCCCCCACCTCAACACAGAGTAAGAAAGTTAACCTAAAACTCTGATCTTGAAGCTCAGGGAAGGAAAATACAGAGCTGAGACTACAAACAGCATAGTTTGTAGTCAGCGATTGCTTCGCTAACTAAAATCAGCATAGAGGAAAGTGCAGAAATAAAGGGGAACTTAAGTTAAACTTAAAAATACTTCTCCAAGTACTAATTGCATAAACAGTATAACTGCTAATACCTAGTTTTAGTGTTCAGTGATTTAAACTATGAATAGTTTTCTTAGAAATTACTGTTTGGACTTCTATGCAGTGCTTAATCTTAGTTAATTGGAGGGAGGAAAAAAGTCCTGCATGACTAAAGTTCCTGATTAAAACAGCTTTTTAAAAACACAAATCTAATCAGTGGATTGATAAAAGATAAACCAATATTAATTGTGACACCAGGATATTACACCAGTGGAAATGTGATCACCAAAAGTCATCCTACTGATAAGAAAAATGGTTCATATAATTAAAAGCTTCTCAAGGAATTTTTTTTGGCATCTTTCTCCTGCATTTTTTCTTCTGTACATATTTAATTGAAATTTAGTAGGGGAAACCTAAATCCTGAGTGTTACATAGTAGTTTTGAAGTCTTTGTAGTTAAATTTGGAACCTGTAATGTGTAGAAAAGGAAAACCTATCTGAAGAAGGTGGTTATGTGGAACAAGTTAAGGAGGTCTTAAATGTGACTCCTGTTCTTCTTAAAACGTGTTGAAATTTCATACTTTTTTTAAAATTTCCTCAGTTTTTAGTTACTCAGCATCCACATTTGTACCAAGTTTCTTTAGAGTTAATTGTGAAATGTTGATTTAGGATCATGCATATCTTAATTTTGATTCATATTTTGAGGTCTCTTACTTTATATGACTAACGCGTAGTGGGAGCCTGAGCACTGCCTGCTCAAAGCTGTGTGAGCTCCAGGTAGTAAATCATCCAGAGGTGGGTAAGGAAATGACCAGGTAGGAAGGATTGATGGCAGGCAAAAATGCAGTTACATCAAGCAGTTAAACCCTCTCCCCACGCATGCCCCTAAAAGAGTCATTAAGTTATTTTCAGAATGAGGAATCACTTGCTTTATGGTTGCTGCTCTGGTGACTGAGGCAAAGGTTGTGGGACAGGGATACCCACAGGGTGCCATTGCTGTGCATGCACAGGGAGGCAGAGCTAAGGTTGCAGGGTGTCTGCACACCCCACATTTCCTCACATCCCCGTGCTTCGTTTCACAATCCAAGTGACCGTCGTGCGGGTTTTGAACCAATTTTCTTTGCCAGTGGGGAAACTGAGCCCTACCTGCAAGGGTAGCACAGCTGCCTTTCAGGACACAAGCCACCACTAGCATTGATATTTTGGCCCAAGGCCTGCTCTGGAGAGGGAGGTCTTGTGTTTGTGTTAGGAAAATGAGACAGGGGGCCTGAGAGGTGTGAGGAGACAGCACAGCCTGCCCCGAACAGCCCAGATGAGGTGCTAGGGCCAGAAAGTCAGGGCTCTTCTCATCCTGTGGCAGCAGAGTTCGCTGCAAAGCCAGCAGAGGATCCTCTCTGCAGGCTCTTGGAAACCTCTGTCCTGATACTGGCTGGTGGTGTTGGCCAGCTGTGTGGAGGAGGCAAGGGTATGAAACAGCAGCCTCTCCAAAGGTGCTCTCCTCTGGGTGGGAATTCAGGGTTGCTCTTGTTTTTGCCAGGAGTAGACTATGAACGCTTTTTCTGCAAGTGAAGTTTATCTCCTCCTGGAATAAAAGGAGAGGTATGGGGTTTGGGTTTGTGTTCATAATGCTAGTTATGCTGTATAACACTC